AGAGAGAGAGAAGGAGAGAGAGAGAGTGAGAGAGAGAGAGCTCCTTTTGTCATCTCGCTTGGGCCCAGAACCTGCCGTGCAGCTTGGTGGATGGCTCCGCGGGCATTGGAAACCTGGGCAGAGACGGTAGTGTCTGGATTGGGCCGAAGGGCAACTCAAATCAACACAAAATTCAAGCCAGCATTACAATCATTACAAGTGAACTAAACCAGGCGCTATCGTTCCAAGATTTGCATCACCAGGGGAGACGAAGCGAAGCACGCCTCCGGAACCTTGCGATGTACAAAAGTAGCTGAGCAAGGCTCCAACTGAGCTGTCGAACTCCAAATACATCAACCTCACACCCTCACGCTCTCACCATCGCATCTTCAAACGCGTGGCTCAGTTCGGAGTAGGCAATGGTTCCAGGCAGCAGGCGGGAATGCCACAGAACTTCCTCAGCGCTAGCTTCTAGAGGCGGCCATGACACCTAAGACTGTGCTTTGCTATGTGCGATTCAAAGACCTGCACTGCATCGCAAGTACCGAAGGGTGCAGATACGGTAGGGTCTACGACTAGCCTTGGAAACTGCACCAGACAAAGGATCCTTGACCACCGGCGAGGCCTCGACTGCGCTCGGGGCCTCGATAGTGATGTCCAGCTCATGGAGCCTTCGGAGCAGCTTCCGGAGATTTCCCCACAAGGAATTGTCGTTGGTTACCCTTTTGGCCGAACCTCACTCGCTTGAAGAGTGGAACTGCTCCCAGCACGTAGTTCTCGGTGACGCCAGGGGTCTCAGATAGCAGGATTTCCCATGCCTTCCGATGGAGAAGACCTGCTTTCGTAGAAGCTTGACAGAATATGACACTGAACTCTTACCAAGATAGAAGGTGGCCTACAAATCAAAATACTGGTCAAAACATTTGGTGCTTGACCGCCTCGCATTCCCAGCATTAAGCTCCAGACGGTGTTGAGGCTATTCTTGTCAAGCCAGTTTTCCCGTAAAGCTGTCAGTGTGGAGAAACTCAGCGAGGGCTTTCGGCAGGATCGTGGAATGGTGGTGTTGAGCTCTTGAGTCATTTGCTTCTGTTGGGAAGTGTTGCAGCGTGTGTGTGTGTGTGTATGTGTATGTATGTGTATGTATGTGTGTATGAGTGAGTGTGTGTTTTTATTTGTTTGTTTTGGTGTTGGTTTCTGCAGAGCCTCGGAAAACTCCGAAAACCTAGGCTCGGAATGACCTGCAGTGGCTCCGCAGGTTTTCGCTTTCACGACTGCGGAAAAGCAAGCATCCAAATACCAAATTCTGATCCCGTAAATAACCGCCATTCCACAGTCTGGTAGTCATAGACACCAAGCCCGCAAATGTTTTACGAATGTTCCTCCCATCTAATTTGAAAAGGGTGCGCATTTCAGGACAAACTTGTCGGGTCACTTACTCCTCGAAACCTGGGGTTCGGTCGGTAATTAGGAACGAGGTTCGACAGTCAGCAAAAAGCTACAGTAGCTACATAAACGCCATCAAGTATCCGGATCGTACAGTCCCAGCGCACTCAGCACATACCAGGATCCCATCTCTCCATTGTCTTCATCACCCGCGTAGCCTTCTGGCGAGTAGGCACGCGTGAGGATCTGCCGAACCTTACACGGATGGAGCAGCACGACCGCAAAATTTGGACAGGCTTCTTCAAGGGGCTTTTGTGGATTCCAGGGTGTTGAGAGGGTGTAGCGTAGCGGCTTCAATTCATTAGTCTGTGCAGCAGTGCAGACACCCAAAGACACATTGTGCAAGGTGATTTGATTTGACTTGCGGCTCGAAGCACGAGCTTCGCAGTGGTGTTGTGGTCACCGAGCATAGCGAAAAGATACCTTGATTGATTGCATATTCTGTGCTGCCTCACCCTCGGAACCATTTCTTTCTGGCCAAGGCTCGGCAAATGGTGAGCTGGCTGGTTGTTGTGGGCGTATTGACCTGGCTCACACCGGGAGCGTTGTAAGCATCAGGAAAAGGCACTCCACATGCGCCGAGCCGCCCATGCCAAGCATTCGCATCTCCCGCATCTCATGGATTTCGTTCTCACGGGGATACGATTGCCAGCTCGGACGACCATGAATGCACAACAGCTTCTAATGCCCTCAGCAGCAGATTGAAACAGCGTAACAGTCAACAGCATTTTAAGCACCGTAATCGCCGTAATCCAATCCCACCGTGTCCTTGTAGGAGCCAGTTTTGAAGTTGGATGGGACCGTGAAAAGCTCATCTAACTTTTGAGTGAGCTTGTCTCGGCCGCCATGCAACTCCTTGGCAAATCGATGCCACAACAGTTCAAATTGACTACAAGGTCCCCCGACCTTGCGGGAAATGCCGTTGCCTCCAACTTGAGGTCAAGATGCCATTAGCGTGTCAAGGTCGAACGGTGGAAACGAATGATGCCACGCCGACCCCTCGAAGCACAAGGCGGATACAAGTCTACAAAACGCGGAGCCATGCAACACATGCAAAAGTGACCATACGTGCATACAGTCATGCAAGCAAGCACGCGTGCAATCATGGATGGTTGCGCCCCCACCGACTGGGCCATAACTCAGAAGATGCTGTGCCCACGAATCCAATCCAAGCCTCCGTGTAGCAGTCACCCCACGTTTCGGGAGCCTCCTGCACGAAGTCCTGCAAGCGCTGTGAAGTCGGGACCGACTGCGCAATGCCGTCGCAAAGGGGTCATTCCCTGCCTGATTCTTTTTCCTGTGGCCCATAAGCCCACTTTGGGGCCTTTTTCAGACAAAATCGTGAACCCACGCATCGCAGGAGCATGTGATACCACAGTCGCGGAATTTAGTCTGGCCAAAATTGGATCGTGCAAATGACAAAGCAAATTGCTAAGCCAAGGGCTCATAGAGCTCGCGGAGAGCCTGCTGCTTCATCACGGAGGATTCTACTCTGGAGCGTATGCACATAGACGCGGGAGACACGGGAAGTCGCTGCAGCTCATCAAATCCATTTTAAGTTGTAGTAAATTAACTCGATTCAGACGACAAAAATCCAACGAGGTTCTCAGCCTCAGTCCCGCGAGTACATCTCTGCATTTCTTGCAGTTTTCTGCAATACCATGATTCGTATAAGAGGAACGAGGCGCTTGGGGCATCTTACAACCCATCTTAGCATGGAAGCCACTGTGAATATTTTCAGCGACACTAAGCTTGCAACATCTCTAGGCAGGCCAAGCTCTTCCACTATTCAAAGGTCCCCCTTGCAGCCTGCTGGCTCCGCGCTTTCAATTCCTGGGCCTAGGCCGGCATCAGCCAATCATACTCAAAATTGTAGAACGTCTTCTCAGAAGCTGACCTCGCGGCGTTTCCCCAGTCGTTGTGCGGCTGCTGCGCAAGCTGCATCAGCGAAAGCAAAATCCAACGTCCGCGAGCAAGCCTGCATTCAAGGTTGGCTTTTGTATACAATGGCCAGAAAGCAGAAGCGCTGCAAGATCACTGGCCTCCGAAACACCGACATCGATCGGAACGAAGCCTTTCTCCTACCGGGGTTCAGAGCATTGCACTGAAGCAGATTGCATCATTGCAACACATACCCCCACCGAAAGTGTCCTGGTAGTGCTTCAATCCAGTTTTGCCACGCGAGGAATCGACCGTGAATGCCTGCACGGCATCGCCAGAATGTTGACAAAACCAGCGCAAAGCTGCAGTGTGATGCGACAAGTGGAGATGCGGCCGATAACGACTGGTTCGGCTTTGGTTGCCAGCGCATGCATTCACAGCATCCGTCTTTGAAGCCTACACGGCTTGGATCTGGCTGCCGGGCCTCGTAAGAATCTTTGTACAATGCTTTCCAAGCCAATTCCCTGTCAAAGCCTGGCACGAGCATGGGACGCTGGCGGCTGGCTCTCGGAGATGTCCCAGCCTGAGATGTTCTTGATGATGGCATCGGCCAGGACGACGTCAGCAAAGGTACCTACCTTGTCGGAGGTCTACAACAGAATTCTGTGCTTCCCTGGGGTTCCCATCAGGCGCGCTCCCTGTGTGAGTGCTTCTTGACGGGCCGTGCGTTTGCTTTCTATTCTGACAGAGGGCAGCACTGTGAACCCCCGTGATACTTGTTGAACACATGCACTGCAGTTTGTTGCCTGAGGAATCTTGTGTTGCTTGAAACTGACTCCCAAATTTTCAGGTGTAGGTCACATCCAACTACTTGGTGGGTCCATCTTCGCTGTACAAGTATGATTCGAAGATCACCTGTGTAAATGCCGAGTTCTACCTTCAGTGCGGGCTTAGGGTCCTTCACTGAGCTCGCCCAACCGTTCCAAGCACAGTACTACAGCATTCCGTAGCCCATGCGAGATCATGCGAGTGAATCAGACCAAGTGTTGGTTCTCATTCCTGCTCGAACTGGCCTACACCCGGCACCAAGCTGCCATCATGTCCCGGTAGCCCGGTGAAGCCCATTTCGGCAACCAGCCGCCAGCCTGCGAAGCGGACAGAAAGAGCGGCAGCCATGGACAGCCTTCTCGCAGCAGATCCACCTTGAAGGCATTCAACCAACCAGTGAGGATGATAGACAACGTCTTGGGATATGCGATGGACAAGAACGGATAGACCTTGGTGGCGCCAAGGGGGCTACTTGCAGCGACTTCCAACCTGGCGGTCATATGCGGTCATGGCGCAGTTCGGAAGGTGTCCCAGAAGCCATTGTCGCTAACACCAACCCCACTGACCACCTGCCCGCTGTACGGGCTCCAGTGCTGCAAACCTGCAGAACTGGCCGGCGGCACACGTGACTGTGTCGAGACTCCAGGGAGCTACGATCTGGGCTACTATCTGGGCTGGCCTGCTGGAGTCTCCTCTTCTAGCCGTCGAGGAAAAAGCAAGGCCCGATAGAGGGAAGTGTAAAAGATCTCCAAGCGCCTGGCCGTGACACGCAGACTTCGCAGACAGCCCGCAGAAGCAAAAGGGCAGAAGATTCAAGGCTTCAAGGTACCCTCGCCTGAAAGTAGCGGCTGTAGGCGGCCCTGCCTCCAGCACCTCTCTGTCTGCACGATGAAAAAAAAATGCCGCCTCTCTCTTCTTCAGCACAGTCAAGAGAGCAGGGGTAGCCCTCGCACGCTCCGCGATCTCCGCGCGTGTCCGCGCCCTGGTTCGTGTCTGGTTTGGTGAGACAGCTAAAGAGAGGAAGACATCCTGTGAAATTTTACCCCCAACAGGCCTCCTCCCCTGTACCTCTTTCGGTTTCAGCGAAAACGTCAGTACATGCCGGCACTGTCAAGTTTGGGGCCCCCTGTTGCGGGCTTTCCAAGCTCTACGGCTGCTTGCTCTTCAGCAGGAAAGGAAACCTCACAAGCCCCACTTAACTCCGGTAGGTGAAACAACTGCGCAAACAGCGGCAACCCTGTAGTACCTGACGCACCGCCGAGTGAACTTGCACACGCACTCCGAACTTTGCCTACCTGCCTTCCTCCCACGACCCTGAACCATGGCTCGACAGTCTGAGTCGGTAGGTCCCCTTTTCATCAAAAAACAGCCCCCATGCCTATCAAACACAGCAGCATGCATGCGCCTCCTACGGTGGGATGCGGGGGAGTCTTGGCTGTCGCTGGCAGGGGTTCCGCCTCTCTCTGTCTCTGCCTGTCTCGCTTTCTCTCTCTCTCTCTCTCTCTCTCCGTCCCTCCCTCTTTGTTTCGACAGGGTTAGGGACCAGGGGGTTGCCCCCCTAGCCCGCGCGCTGTCGCGCCCCCGACCGTTTTGGAGCGGCATTGAAAAACGAATTTGCACTAACAAAGCAACTCGGGACGGGATGATGGCAATAGAGATGCATAACAATAAAGGGAATAAGAATAAGACAAACGAATGACCAGCCATCAGCCATCAAACATGGGCTTGCCTTGTTGTGTCTCGTAGCGGAGCAAGCAAAGTTGGCATACAATGGCACTAACACCAAAATGGGATATGGAATAAATTGCCAACGAGGTTGCTCCTGGAGAGCCGTGACTGTTGTGCAATGGGCGCGGCCCCGACAAGGAGGCCTGGCTTGAACGGCAGACAAGCAGGACAGAACAGAAACTAGTGACATCTCTCTCTCTCTCTCTCTTTCTCTCTTTCGCCAGCCTTAGGGGCAGGGGGAATTCCCCCTTGCCCATGCGCGTTCGCGCCCCCGACTGTTGCGGAGAGGCTCTGGGGAAAGCAGCTCACGACACGAACGCAGCTACGTCTGTTGATCAACGCGCAAAAACCAGCTGGAAGTATAAGCAACATGATAACAATGAAGCAGGGAAAAGATTATCAAGTACAATTAGTATAGTACAGGGCCCCAGTGCGGGGGTGAAATGCGATGAATCTGGGAGGCTCCAGCGGCCCGTCTCAAAGAATTAGAAAAGTTGAGTGGACGTGGGTATGACCCCGTTGCGTGGTGTAAACCGAAGTTGGAGAGAAGAAAGAGAAATAACGAATGCTGATCGAGATCAATCCAAGCGTGCAAGCCAATACGATGCGAGTGGTCACTATCGCTGACAAGGAATGCCACCAGAAAAGAAGGCTGACACCAACAGAACACAGCGAAGCGACTTCTTTCAGGGTTTTCCGCCGCGTAAAGCGTAAGCAAACAGAAATGATTTGGGGTGTCCCCCGTTGAAGTGAAACAAAAAATCGGACCACTCACTATGTCTCCCGCTCACGCCTCTTTGTCCACCTTGCCCAGGTCAGGCCTCCACGAGCTGTGCTGTCGTTGTTCCCGCCGATGAACACGGTATGTTTCTTTGCTGGCTTTTCTATGTGCACGTCACTTTTCTTCATCTGTGGTGTATGCATCAAGCCCGAAGGGAGCTTCCCTGTTCATCGCGTTTTTGAAGGAGCTTTAGTAGTCGTGCTGGTTGTCGGTCTGTAAGCGTGGGTGGTGGACCTGTCGGAGATGGAGGAGCAGGGGCTCCTCTCCCATGGACTTCGCTCTCTGAACTGTCGTGGCCCTCTTCCACAAACTCGGCGTGGGGTTCGCCCCCCCTCGTCGTTGTTGGTGACCTCCTCGGCGAACTGGATCCGAAATCGAGATGATGTACAACCTAGATGCAGCGAAGCAAGTTGTCGCCATCGTATGTCACAAGAAGCTGGAGAAGTACAAATGTAATGTTACATAGGTAAATGGAAGAATACTGATGACGTTTGACACGTCGCCACTAAGAACAAATATTGTTGCTGCTTATGCGCCGCATGCGGGAAGAAATGTGTGAGACAAATATAACGTTTACAACGAATTAGGAAAGGTTTTGGATAGCATCCCTGAGCACGAAACGAATATAATATTGGGAGACTTCAACGCTAGGCTCATGAAAAGGCTCGCATACGAGACACAAACTCTCGGCGAACATGTGTTTAGGGAAGATGGGAGCCGAATTGAGCAACTCAGTCTCGCGCAACAGGATAATCGAACTAGGTTAATCAGTTTCTGTCAAGAGCATGACCTCACTGTGGTCAATACTCTGTTTCAGAAAGACAAGTCCAAGTTGATCACTTACAAAAATGTAGCAGCCCCTAACTTCCACCCTTCTTACACTCTGGACAGATATGGACAATTAGACCTCATATTGATCAACAAAAATGGAAGAACACTGTTACAAATGCGGAGAGCAACGTACAAGCATCAATCATTACGGATCATAAGCTACTCGTAACTACCATTCGTATGAAAACTTGCGGCAAAGAAACAACCTTGTCAAACAAGAGGTACACTGTATCGAACTCTTGCGCCTAAACAGATACAGAAAAACAACGAGAAAGTCCAAGAACTGATTCACGTGGCCAAGCCATCTGATAGTGCAGGCCCTGTCGAAGTGTGGGCAGAAATCTTGAACCTGGCAGCGGCGCGTGCCTTTACGCCCATCCCCACAAACCAGAAGAAACAATACATTTCTGAACAAACATGGCAACTCCGTTGCAAGAAGCAACAAACCCATTCAGCGAGGTCAGCAACACGAGAGTCATAAAAAAAACAGTTACGAAAACATTTACGTCAAGACAAACCAACTTTTCACAGGGAGCAACTTGAGAAAATGACAGGAAAGGATATAATTGGAAAGGGGTAAAAATGCTAAGAAAGAAATACATCCCCAAACATTGTAAATTTAAGAAAGCCGACGGGAGTTACATTTTCCAAATGAAGCGGCCAAATACCTGTCAGACATTCAGTGGAAAGCACGTACAAACAATTCCCAACCAAATTCAAGCCAACTGTCAGACATAGGACAGGCAATTAAATGTACTGCATGGGATCTCTCCGAACTTGACACGCTAATAAATAACCTCAAGCCCAACAAAACTCCTGGACCTGATGAAATATCTAGTGAGAGGGTGCAAATTGTTGGACAGGGGTAACAGAAGTTGTTTGTTGGCACTACAATGACATTTTAGTACATGGTAAGCATTATGACGCGCAGAACTTGGCCAATATAGCCTCAATCTTCAAGCAAGGAGACCCTGCCAAACTTGAAAATTACAGGCCAACTGCATTACTGCAAACATTTTTACAAGACTCGCGGCCTTATTAAAGTATAGGCTAGTAGAAGGTATCGACCCATGGCTATTGAAGACACAGTTCGGTTTTCGCAAGAAGAAGTCTACGACACAAGCAATTTTGTAGATTTTATAGCAAGAAGACTTATGGACTTGGCGGAAAGACAAGGGACAAACATATCAATGATATTGCTAGATTGGGAAAATTGTTTCGACAACGTTGATCAATGCCGCTTAGTAGAAACCCTGAGTAGATTTTCAAGTCATGAAATCATCATAACAGCAATAAGAAACATATATCGAGAAGCCAAGTTCCGTGTCGCAAGAGGGGAATACAAATCAGGTTTTCATGAGCAGAACTCACGAATCCGACCAGGATGCCCTTTGTCTCCATATCTATTTCGTGTCATTATGACAGCTATCTTCCATGACATAAAATCGGTTTTAAACACAACACAAAAGGAACATATCCCTGGACTGCATTATGCAGAAATCCTTTATGCAGATGACATCTTAATTTCTGGTACCCATACACATTCAATAAACAAGCTTCTGCACCAAATCCAGAAAAATCACAAACATACAACATGAAACTAAATCTGGACATATGTGTTAACCTTACGTTGAATCAGAACCAGTCCTCAGATGGATACATGAATGGAAATAAAGTTCCAAGGAAGACACAAGCGACTTACTTGGGCGCCACATTGACAGATGCAGTAGATAATCGTAAAGAAGCTTTGCAAAAAATTGGGGGAGCTGATGTTATAGCAAACCAACTTGGGATCCTTTGGTCAAAAGCGCGTATCTCGAAGCAATGGAAACAGACAATTTGAGATGCCGTGGTAGTGAATATGTTATTGTATGGTGTAGAAAGTATGCAGTTCCCAAAATCAGATCAGGATCGAATACATGCATTTCAAACGAAGATGTTGCGACGAGTGTTGAATGTACCCCCTACCCATATCGACAGGGAATTGACCAATCGGAAGGTAGTGAGTGAATTACATTTACGAGCCCAATATCAACATGTCAAGTTATCAGACAAAAGGAAACAGCGTAAACTCACCTTACTGGGCCACATCTTGAGGGCTCCATCGGACGACCCAATGAAACAAATACTTTTTGAACAGGGCACGGATAGACCACGCATTGAACACACTCGTAGAGTCGGACGACCCAATGAAACAAATACTTTTGGAACAGGGCACGGATAGACTACGCCGTGAACACACTCGTAGAGTCGGCAAGCCAAGAGCCAACTGGTTTGTTGAAACATGCAAGGATGCCTTTACAACATGCGATCCCAACACCAACTTTGGTGAGCAAAACACTGCACAGATTAAGGCTTCAGCAACCAAAGCAAAGCAAACAACCGCGAAACTTCTTTCAACTAGGATAGGTCTTTTTGTTTTAACATCATCGAATATGTCATCGAAATCATCAATGTAGCGGCAGTGCGGCGCTGGCATCATCTTTCGAATTGAGCGCCGATGTGGTCATAAACCTAGGGGCCTATGATTTTCCTGTGCGCAGCTAGGCTCTGCTTTTCATTACGTGCTGGGCAACGCTCAGCCTCGGACGGGCAGCGTGCAGAGAGGGAGAGAGAGTTGGTTCGGTTGCAGCGGCTAAGTCCTCGCGACTGGGCTGTTCCCCAACATCAACCGAATCGTCGAAGACGTCGATAACGGGGTGGAGCCCCCGATGCTCTTCCTCATTCATGTCGATTTCTCTCCCTCTCCACCATCTTCTTCTTCTTCGCCAGGGCATGGGAGGCGGTTTAAGCCCCCCGGCCACTAGGGCCCCCCATTTGTTATGGGGCTTTGAGGAGGCGTGAAAACAAGGTTGGGGTGTTTCCCCCGGGATCTTTGTTGGTAGGGTAAACCATCTCTGTCTCTCTCTCTCTCTCTCTCCCTCTCCTTGCTTTGCTTGGGTTTTAAGTCAGGGCAAACCCCCCAACTTGCGCCGACGTGCACCCCCTTTCCGTCATGTTGACAGAGAGGGCGAACGGGACTGTGTGCCCCCGTGGAGGCAAGCTGATGCAACAGAGGCATCCGACTGTGTCTCAAACAAACAAGACTTCACCTATCTACACACTCAACACAACTTCGCGGTGTGCCTCTGCTGTCGTGTACCCCACTTGTCCTGCCTTAGCCCTGCTTGCATCCTGAACGGAAGCCTCGACCCTCCACCCAACCCTGACGCCTTTTCCAAGTGCCGGGTGCCCCTCGTCTTAACATGATAGCACAACAGGTCCTGCAGTCAACGACCTAGCACTTATTTCACGGGTCCCCCTCGGCTAGTCTTCATCACATGCCGCATGGAGACGGCGGCGGCGATGGCTGGTTGTGCTCACTTCGCTCAGTTCGTCTGGTTCCCGAGGTTGGTGAAGCGCCAGCTTCGTCTGCACAGCCAAGAGAAAAGGAGCACGCATCCCCGTCCTCCCGCGCGCAAGCGCGCCCTGGTCACTCGGTCTGTGTGAGAGAAAACGGCATGATGAGGCCGCGGGCTGCATCACGCCGATCCCCTATAAACCCTGTACTCTATGTCCCCGGGCCTCATCTCTTGTAGGGCTGATGCAAGCTCTGTTCGCCGAGCCGTGGCACTTTGCCACTCACAACTCTGAGGCGCCGGCCAGCAGGAGGCTTCACGCAACGACAAGCAACGACCAGCAACAACATGCATGAGGCTACCACACTGCACTCTACAGTTTCCCCCTGGTTGCCCTGTACTTGCTTGCACCACACTGTGAGGCCAGCTCTTCTTCAGCAGGGCATAGGGGGCGGTCAAACCCCCTGGCCCCCCATTGTTTGGGGATGGCTTGGAGGGGGTGAAGTGCCAGCTCTCTCTCTACCAAACAAGAAGGGCAGCACGGTCCAGTGCAACCCCCCGCGCGCGAACGCGCCCCTGCGGTTCAAGGGTACGCGTGGCTCCCCCTATAGTATATGGCCATAGGGGGCTTGGCTGTAGGAAAGGTCTTTCAAACACTAAAAATAAAACACATGCCTCATTACGCATTGCTAAGGCGAAGGCCAGGCGTACAACAGGAAGGACTCCAAGGTCGGGGCTTCCAGGCAAAAACGTGCTGATCTCCCCCCGCTACGTATGAGCGGGTTGCTGAGTATTTTCACGGATTGAACGGAATTAATTTGGGCCTTGAGAAGTTCCCCCCTAATTCATGTCAACGAAGCATGGACACTGCAAAAAGAAACAAGGATTGTGGGCGTTTGGCCCGTTTTACATGGGTTGATCGGAGAGGGCTGTTAAGCCTGCAAAAAGTTCACACCTGTACACCTATAATCCCCTTCAGAAGACGACCACGGGCTTTTTCACAGCGGTTGCGAAGTGCTTGTCACACAAAACTGCACTGGGAGAGTATCATCCCCCCTTCTGCTGCTCCCCCTTCACGAGGTCACCTCTTGTCTCATGGCTTCTAGCCATCTGTGCTTGGACCACTGTCTCTCCATCTCACTCCCCCACGTCGCTCTCCTTGCCCAAGTCACGAACTTGACCGCGATGGCCTCCCCCGCCCAGTGAACTGGTTCGTAGTGATCGGCTTGGCGGTGGACTGGAAAAGGCCCTTGGTGGAGAAGTAAGTCCCCCCCTCCTGGAAAGCGTTCGGGAGCAAGTCCTTGCAGTGTAGTACTCCCCTGCAGGGCTGTGGTGCTCGAACGCGCCCTTCTCGGTTATGGCTCCCCCTCAAAGGCACGGAACCTGCTAGGGCTGCTAGGGGCCTCTGGAGCAGGCGTCCACCTACCAAGGATGCTGGGAACAGCCAGCACGGGAGCGGCAGGTCGACTTGAGCCAAACTGGCTAGTGCCAGCTATCTCTCTCTCTCTCTCCTTCTCTCTCTGAGGTATACTTTGAGACTTCCTTGGCCTCAACCTTTCGTAGCTCGGCTCGCCAGATGCCGCGAGCGCCCGCCGCAAGAAAGTCGAAGGAACGGCCACTGACCTCTGCCGGACTCTGACAAGATTCGCTCATTTGCTGTCTTTCACTGCTCTGCACCGAATGTTCCCGACTCTCACGGGCCTGCATCACGAAACGGCTATGCGAAGCCGTGGCATACAACTCATACAACATCGTACAACCACCACATCTATTTTTTGCAGATAGTCATGTATTTGCAAACGTCAGGCTTCCATGGGGCTTTCTTGTAACTTTCTGTCCACCACCCGAGAGCCGATTCAAGCAGGGGCCGACCAAGCCGAGGCCGAGTGAAAACACACTCGGCCGGTCACACTTGGAAGAAGCCCTCCTATGTCCCATCACCTCGGCATCCAGCGCCCGCAGCGCTTGGGCCGCCGATATGAAGCCTCGCTCTGGAGGATGCTGAAGCCATGCCGCAAGGCTCGTCTGACCAAATTTGCTCACACCTTTCAGCCCAGCGGCTGGTTCCGATCTTCACCTCCACCACCTGCAGCATCTAGTCTACTTTCACTGCATGCATGCTTCTGGTGGCACGCGCGTTCATGCGTCCTGCTTTTTCTCACTTATGCTACTTCGAGGCTGGGGGATGGGGGCGGCTAAGACTGTGTCTCTACTTCAGTCCCTGGAACCCTCATCCCTGAACCCTCTGCCTTCAGGGTTACAGAAGATACGGGTTCAGGTCTGCCTCTTCGCAAACGACTCTCCCACTGTGGGCGAAAGCACTGTAAATCCCAAAGCGACCATGCCGTCGAAAAATTTTGCACTTTGTTACCGTGCCATGTACCCAAGGCATCGAATGCTTGAAAATCTCGACTCTCCGCAGATTTAACTTCGCCCGCTACACGAGATGAAGAGAAAGGACGCACCTGCTGGGTCTGGCTGATGAAGCAACACTCGCGCTGAGTCGACTCAGCACACTTGGGCGGTCCACTCTGGACGCCACCTTGGCGCTTCTTCTTGGCCCTGGCATCCTCACAGGCCCAGGCCGATACATCCCCTGCAGCCTGCTACCTTGCTGGCATTTGATTTTCATTATGAGCCCGATCTCATGCCACCTCGGCCGTGAGCGTTGAGCCTATCTGGGCCTTGCTCGAGATTTATTTACGAAACCTATGGGATGAAATCGCTGAAACTTCATGTCATGTAACCTGGCGCTGTTCTTCGAGTGACGCACTTCTCTGAAACATAGTAACGTTGGAGCACGAACGACCGTTAGACACTGACTGCCCATGCGCGACGGAATAGGAAACACACATCTCAACGTTTGTCCTGCAGATGGCAGCCGCCATCATCATAGAAGGTGAAATGCCTTGCTTAACAACCACGCACAACCATACTGCTCGCTTAATTCGCGACTCAATGACAACTACAACTGTGGTGATTACTAATGCCACTTCCTGTACACCTATTCACGAAACTTTCTTTGCGCCAACCTCGGCTTCTTGGGGCTGCTTTCCGACTGTCGGCTACCGGCTCTCTGCGTACGAGTACCACTTCTATCGCAACTCTCCACTGGTCTTTACAAATCTCCGAGCGTGGTTCATGTTGGACGTCCTGCACGTAGCTCGCTTACTGCTCGCCTGCTTTAACCGATGCAACCGCACACCACCCGTCTATCCGCAAAGATGTGAATTCCAAGTTGAGGCAACAGTACAGCTGAAGACATTCTCCAAGGAACGCACAACTCGCGGTGCTTTTACAGCGCATCTGGCATTGCGACGCGGAGTCCAGCGCAGATCGCTCTTGGCCTCAAAGAACCAAAACGAACGACACCTTCAAAATGACACTGAGAGCTGCCGAACAACGCAGCATAACAGCATTTCGCCTTTATCAGCTACAGGGCACCTTGCCTGGCATGTTCAAGGGATCCCACTGCTGGTCCTCATCTCGGGGAGGCTGTGGCTTACACTGCCCGTCTAGGCCCGTGCAGGCACGGCGGCAACGGCACACGTCAACGCAGGCAGTTTTTCCTACCCACAAACAGACCACCAGACCTCCCTGGCATGACCCTGAACGAGGCAGATGTATATGGATTTGTCGAGGCATTTCGTCTTACCGAATCAGGTCGAGGGGGAGGGGATGACATCGTGAGACGGAAGGGGCGGCCGAAGCCAATGCAGATGCATATCGAGACGAGCGTGCGAGACCCGCAAACCTCCGTCGTTTGAGGAGAAGCCAAGGGTGTACAGGAAATGAGCGGAAATGCAAGGGCTTGCATGCCCAAAAGAGCCCTCGAGAACCAAGAACCCTGCGATGCCCTGCGTCCTTCTCGAAGCAATCGGCGATGGGAGCCGTTTCTACTCGGAGGCCTGGTATGGGATAAGCGGATTTCAAAGGAAACCCAGTGTGTCTCGCTCTCCTGGGGACTCCAACCGCCCGAAGAAGGCGAAGCTGTCCGGTGTCCCATCGGCAAAGCGTCGGGACTCGACATTGATACCGCCACCGCTTTCGAGGCCTCAACTCGCTTGGTTCAGAAACAAATCCGGAACGAAAGTGCGTTTGTTGAGCTCATCACACGAGCCCGAGGGAATTTGCTTCGCGGTGCTGCGCTTTTCATCCTTGTCCTGCAAGGCCACACGTAGCAGCCGCATCGCCTCTTTTTCGATTGTGCCTTCAGGTCCCCTTTTGGCACCATCACACAAAGCCTGACAGACAGACGATGCTGGCGTAAAAGAAAGGGAAGCACGAAACTACGCGTAGAGATGCCTTCTATGCTGCGGCAGCGCAGACTCTGGGAAAGTTACCTGAAATGATGCAGCGACTTTCAATCCGAATCTGTTTCAACGGCGCCTAAAACTCTAGAAGATATTGGGTAACATCGGCGCTTGCAACCCGAATCAACCATATGCAAGCATGTGTAGCCAAGGCAGGTCGGGCTTCGTGCCAAGCGGCTCGCAGCAAGCCTCCGTGGTTCGTGGGTGTCAGCTGCAGCCTGTGCCTTTAGAAATCGACCCACGTGAGACCATAATGTACAGCGACGGCAACATGTCATTAGCAAGGACACCCAAAGGGCCCCAGAGTCAGGTCGATCAGGTGCGGCCTCACATGAGAAGTCTCAGTCTGGTGAACCCGTTTCGCAAAGACTCCCCTTGCCTGAGGGCTCCTTCAGCGTGATAGGACGTGAACCCCATCTTGGAGTTCCCCGCATAGCCCGTGTGAAGGACGAGAAGGAACCACCTTGCTCTTCAACCTAACTCTGAAGCTTTGGCAGGCTGTTTCAGCTTCGGGAAGCGGATAGAATGTGGGTTCTGTGTGATCCAGAAAATGCTCTTCACGGCGCGCGGCCCGTAGTCGCCCATCCAGGGCGAAGGCTGGTGGGTGCATCGTAGACCGTAGAAAGTGTCCGCATTGGCGTCGAACCTCAAAGGGGAGGTGCCAAGAACGCCGCAGCTCCTCGCCTTCCGGCCGAGATGCCACCAGCTCGTCTTGCGTGCTGCAGGATCTGCGGTTTGGGGTGCCCAGTGATTGAAACCCCAAGGCATCGCAACCAACGGCAGCGTGTTTCCTTGGTTTGCAATGGCAGCACCACGACTGTGCTAGGAGAAAGTAGACAGAACGAGCATGTGTCGCTCACTTGCATTGTGGGTACCAGCTTGGACGTGGCCTGACATGAGACCAGTTGCCGGTACTATGGTGCATGCCAGCCTTCTCACCGCCAACTGTTCCGGCGAGAACATTGACGAAGTCCTGCTCCACACACTCCGCAGACGGTTTGCTCGAGGTGTTGCAGGGTGACTGCATATGCTGCATGTTACCACCCGCAGATCCTCTGGATCTGGAACCTTGACAGTGTCTGTGGATGCCAAGCCGCCATGAATCAGCAGCACAGAGCATCTGAGCATATCACAAGGACCGTAAAGTCCCGAGATGCGCGTAGCATCAAACACAATAACTAGCCATAAACGCAACTGCTGAGTTGGATGTCTGCCGATCTTGGTAGAGTCTGGTCTTGAGGGCTTACAAAAAAACGGTGAGATGTAACAGATGCACGTCTTCGCTTGCATTGATGCGCAGGACTATTCATGCGCAAACCCTGCTTGAGCAAACAAGATCAGAAAGGCATAGCACAGCCTGCAGAGATGTCCAGAGATGTGTGGAGTCCATTCGCAGCATGACCATGGACGATAACGGACATGTGCCCTGGCTCTCGCCACCGGTGCCATAACCGAGAACGACCCAGCAATTGGCTTCGCCAATCAGGGCAAGCTCTAACCGTCCCGATAAGACGCCACCCTCTAAGACTCAGATCGTAAAATGGCCTTGAAGCCACAGCAGAGCTTTCCGCTTCTGCAAACGGCACCAGACAGAGCTCTCCGTTCTCTTTGAGAACTCAAACCCCACCCGGGCCTCAGTCCTTGGTGGCGCTGCCAGCTCCGCTGTTCGGAGATTCAAGCAACCACTGGCCGACCCTTTGAAGAGGGTAGAGGCAACGGCAGATCTCTAGACACGCCCAGGGCAGGGCCGGCGACCTCGAAAGCAGCATCAAGCGCCTCCAACACAACCGTCAGCGCTGATCTCTGCCAGGTCCCCCACTTCCGCATCAAGATCCAAAGCAAAAGCATTGTAGACCTGGAGTCCGCATCGCGCATGCTGCCACCAAGATTCATGCGGCTGCCGCTGTCGGTTGGATCAGTGCCGTGCATCCTCAGGAATCGCGTAGTCGCGCAATCGTCTCGCCAGAGCCCTTCTGTACACGTCACTGTAGTGGAACCTGGGCAGGGGAAAGAAAACTCCATAACTCGAGCTTCGTCCTGAGAGTCAACCTGAAGGACTGATGGTGCGTCAGCCAAGCAGCAGCCGCCCGCTGCTTGCAAAAGCTGGCGATAGGACATGCCTTTGCGTTGCGACGGAAGCCTCTCTGCACTCAGTCGGGCAACTGCACAGTGAGACGCCAAGGCTCATGAAGAACACCCAGTCAACCTGCAATGGGTTAGTTATAGTAAGCGCAGTCCGACGCAAGGCCCAGGCCCCGGAGGGCCCGGTGGAGGCTCGGAGGGCCCAGAGGCTTGGAGGAAGCTCGGAGGCCTCTTCATCTTCTTGGAGCATCAATTCTGGCAAACGCAATCCGGCTCCACCCAGGGGTGCCAGGTAGACATCCAGGAGCTCCTCGCAACAGGGAACTTCTGCATGAAAACCTCAAAGAGGACATGACATATGTGCAAGCTTTCGGCGCGTTTTGACTGATGACAGGTTGGGGCGGCCTCAGTGCTTTATGGCCGAGTAAATTATACCGGCGAAGACCCCCGGCAAAGAAAGGTTCATGGTTTTGGGGCATCATGGTTGTCGATGTTCTTAACCAGGAAGTTCAACCAATTGGTTCTTCCTTTTTGTTGCCCCACTGCACAGTGGTTTGGCGCTTGCAACGCTGTTTTAGCCTCAAGCCTGCCAACTTGCGGACTGCCAAGTTTGGGGTCGCTTGTCTTCACATGCCTCAGTTGCGCCCTGTGGCGAAGTGTATGTAAACTCCACCCGGCCTTTCCATTCTTTCGGGTCACTCGGTCGGCCGGGTTTATTTGCCAAGGTCATGAAATTTTCCTGTTGCACAGTGGCGCACGATCCGTCTCTGTACTTCTTGTATGTCACCCTTCCGCCAGCCAATCGGGACATTTGCAATGGCAACGGCTTGGAGGCTTTGATTCGGGGATCGAACGTTTACTTTCCGTGCCTTGACGTGCCAGATCAAATTCAACTAATTATGGATCATTCCCTTCCCACGTGTCATACGTGTAACCATGGACAGTCTTCATACCCTGTGCTACAGCATCCACAGCAATCAAGGCACCAAAGATAGTCAAACGAGCTGTCATCCAAATCCGACACCCCACGCAATTCCAGTGCACCAATCTCTTGCTCCATTCCCGACAACACATCAAACAAACAACTCGCTGCCAATCTCGCCACATCTACAATCTACGGCTGCATGCGGAATAGTAGTCGGTGTCAGGTACACCAATGTACCCTGTCGCACAAACGGAACAGGGTTTGCAGTCGAGTCTATCAAAGCAAGATGGTCTCGGGCCACTACGTTCCAAACGTCATGCAGCAGCAATCGAGCAGCACTGATCAGTGGAAACGACATCCCAGTGCACACGTGGCCATTGCTACAGTCAAGCTGCACAAGTTTCCAGCTTTCCTTGCACATCCAGTGTTTGTCCCAACAAACTTCGCTGTGAGGGCGCACCCTCATTCAAGGACAACCCAGGATACTCCGGTGCAGACCATTCCGGACTAGATTGCACAAACTCCACTGTCAAACAGCATCCACGACCTATCGACCAATCAAGCTTGCGCGCGAAACTCAATCTAGCTGTCGTCAAACCTCACAAGATCAATGAGAGGCACATTTTTGGAAAGAACCGGGGCCACTCCGTAACTCAACGCGCCGATCAACAAGCATGTTCCACCGAACAGGTTCGTCATTATCCCAGGCTTGGCACTTCGGACAGAGTTGGATGATCAGGGCACATTCTGATCCTGCGCCACGACAGTCACAGCTGTAACGTTTTGCGGCGGTTCACTCTTGGTGGCTTCCTGCGACGCATTCGTTTGAGAGCTAAACGCCACATTGGCGTTCGCTCCAACCGTCTTGTGAACTTCAAGACCAGTCTTCTTTCCAATAATTCCAAGAGTTATCGAACCAAGGCCAGTCACCGGACCAATCATCCAGCGAACCTATCCACTCATGACTCCAGTCACGAATGTACCAATCATCGCACCATTCCTGAGTCCACGGGCAGCTGCCCCATGCGCCGATGCATTGAACAGAGTACACGGAAGGGTAAGAGCCACCATGCAAAGTTCCACCCGCACTGTCGCTCGCCATGGAGCCCGGGCCTTCTTGATGGACCTCATGCTTGTCACTCATTGGTACACATCTTGTAAGCTGGATCTCAAACAACGCCATGAGGCAGCTGCCACACAGACCGCAAGCCTGAGCGTATGCTGCATCAACACGTGGATGGTGCCTTGAAAAGGAATCGGTCCTAGATGCTCATGCACTTAACAATAACCTCAAAGTCTCGTCAGCAGCTGTTGCACCGGTGCTCTTGTTAGTAAGGGTTCGGAGTTAGGAGATTAATGGTGGCGGATCTAGGGTTTGGGTCTAGTGGCCGATTATGTGACAACAGAAAACAGAGTTTTGACTGAATCAAGCCAGTCAACCAGAAGAGCAAGACACGCAAATGCATGTGAAAAAAGACCCCAAAAACAACATAAACATCAGACACCACTATCGTATGCTAGTGGCTGCTAGCGCTTGACCTCACTACGGGGCCTGAAATGTAGCGAAACCGCCCAGAGAGGGAGGAGCAACGGAACACAACTCGAACTTCCTTCTTGAGCGTGTTTAGGACTACAGTCGGTCGGATTAAAGCTGCCGGAATGAACTTGAGAGAACTCCTAGCCTATGCTCCTTTTCAGAGTGTCGCCAAGCGCAATACAAACTTCTTGAGGCCTCAGCATTGCGCCATCCCCGCCGTGTTATGACCCAGGTCCTTTGCATTGCCATCTCTTGTTTCACACGAGAAACCTCAGAGAAAAAAAAAGAAAACGTCAGACACAAGGCTTGAGCATTTTCGGTTTCAGGGCTCGGAACGACCATCCAAGGGCATTGACGGCATCAAATGCTGTCTCAGCCGCAGTGCCGCGGCTCGCCAACAGCTTCGGCATCTATCCCCAGCTCAACCAGAGAGCGCTCTGCCGCCTGGGTTGACACCTGTGAGACGAAGTCACAATGCCTGAAAATGCCTTGAACAAGGTTCACTCTTCGTCCAACACTCGAGAGTTGGTGCGCACTTTGAGTTGTACTCTGTACTCCCATCGCGTCTGACAAAGACATGCACATAGGCTGCCAGTGCCCACATGACAGCACGGGGAAGAGATGGGATGCTTCCACGTCTGTTTTCTTGAGACCTGCTATGAGTCAAGAGTCCGCAAAGGTTGGGCGGGAGGACTAAGTTTCCAGACAGTCTGGTCTGAAAACGCCACATCGACTGAGCGGTTACCCCAACACACCTGTTGCAACCTGTCCCTCGCGAAAAAGGAAATCTAAATCGGATCCCCTCTCGCCTCGCTGGCATGGCCATCACGACCGTAGCAACGAACTTCTGAATGGCAACTAGGACCCCAACGTCCTGGCAACTTCTCGCGCGGATTATCGGTGGTCAACATCTGTTGCAGTTTCAATAGCTGGATGCTCCCAATCCAACTCTGGGAAGATACTTCTCGCAGCTACGGGCGCGTCGCAAGATGTGGCCGCTCCTGGATGCTTCGGCGCATGCTGGGACCAGCGGCGGAGAAGCAGGGCTCCTAACCGAAGCACATTATTCGACTGCATGGGCTCGCAGCCTGAAGGCTTCGGTGGCAATTGCGGAAGACTGCAGCTATACACACACACACACAGGCACGCACATCTGCCGTCCTGTTCGCGGCACACAGATCCAGACATGGACAGCTCGGTGAAGCCTAACTGGGAATGCCACAGTGGAGACTATGTCCACAGAAGCGCAGCTGCAAGCCATGCAGGTGCCCAGACTTTGCCAGACCAGTGATTTCTCAGTGCATTCCAGACCAGCTGTGCGAGAGCCCATGAAGATTTCGGAATCGCAAGCGCAAGCCCAGTCGCAGCTCACCGTCCAAGCACTCGGCCAGCGAACGTGGCCCACAAAGGACCTGGGGATGTCAAAGCGTCTCATTGGTGCGGTGACTGCTCTTGCTCCCACTGTCGTTGCTCTGATTTCACAACGAACTCGCTGTCTTCAAAAAAAGCACTAGCAGCAGCGTCAGCAGCAGCAGCAGCAACACGACCACCACCCCTGCCACCGCCACCACCGCCGCCACCACCACCACCACCACCACCAACGTGTGGGCCTGAAGGAGACTGCAGAATCAGCACTACTGTCCAACAAGTTTTGACCCTTCTTGGACTGAAGACCCAGAAATCTTTTTCTTTCTCGGAATCGGAGATGCCTACTGGCCTTCTTACCACGAAAACCCTACAGTAAGACTCACAGGCGAACCATCGGGCGCACACTAACGCGGGAGGGGCTGATGCAACGATGAGATCGGCACCGAACAGAACACAGGTCGCGTGAGCCAAGGGTCCTCTTTCTACAGTGTTCAAAGGAATGCTGCTTGGCATGTAGCGGTCAAGGAGGATCGAAGCTTTGCAGCGTCTTCTGAAACAGCCCAGACGTAAACTGTACGCCTGCGAGTATACAGCATGCAGCATACATGTACTGGGAGCGAGTGGGGCAGCTCCGGTATCTAAGCTTGTCTGTTGCCGCTGGGCTGGTCAACTCGTAGAACCCCCTAGAACACGGTTCCGCCCCCCTTGTTACACCGTGTTACTTCAGCTAAAAGCCAGCCAACTTAGGGATGTTCACTTCACGACCGCAGAAGAAAATGCAACTTGACACAGTGCAGCTGATCGACATGGCCCTTCTTGTCTAGCACCTCCACCAGATGTTCTGTGGCTGGGACGCCGCCTGAGCAAAAATACTTTCACAAGATGACGACAAACGACGAAGGGGGCCGAGCGGCGCTGCGGCTCGCGGGGCCTGGCTCCGGGAGGCGACGTCATCCCGGAGAGATCCGAACAGACGTCTAGCCTCCGCAAAATGCTGCAAACCTCTTGTAGGGAGGATTCTGCAAACACATTTCGTCGTGCTTCACCAGGTCACCCGCACGGCAGCGCAAAACTTCTCGCAGCAGGGAGCTTGCCTGAGATCGAGATACCATCAGGTGCGAAAAGCAGGAAGAAGGAGGCTCTCAATTTTCACCTGTGTACAGCTTTATGCATGGCGTGAATAGCAGCGTACTTCTTGTGTTGGATTCAAGCACCAGTCGGAAAAATCTGACACACTCGTGACCCTTCCATCTTGTCGGTCACTGTCGCCATCCACGAGAGTTCCACATGACACCCCTCCCACCACCTCGCTGCTCTGCAGCAGCGCGCTCTGCCAAGCGAGCCTGCAGTTCGGATTCGCAAAGTGCCAACCTAAGCCCAAGCTTCAGCCCCGTGCCGTCTCCGCATCCAGGGCAACCCCGACAAGGGTCTGGAAGGCCTCGTGAACTCCTGAGGCTACAGGCCAAAAGGCCCCACCGAACACCGAATTGCGAGTCCTTTGCCAGATCGAGCAGAGGTTTGCACCAGGGTCAATCCATTGGCTTCTGCAAAGGACTTGGCCTCCTCCTTCCCAGGCACGCTCAAACCAAGCTGCTGAGAAATCAATCTCCACTCTCAGGCCTTTCGCTTGTATCTGCTAATGGTGACATGGCTAGTATTGTCTAGTCTTTTCATGTCTGTTCCCTGTATACACGGCTCCCACTTCGTTGCATCTGTCGCCGGCCGTGCCTTCGTCACCGCTGGCTCACCTGCATCGATCTTTGTCGCCTAAGTGCCAACCAACGCCAAAGGGACGTCACGTTGTGTCTCCGGCGTGAGTCGCCGGTAAATCCAATAGTAAGCGGGTTGCGGTCGAGCCTCGCAGAGGACACACGCAAGTGTCGGCTTGGAAGAAACATCTGAGCCAGAGATCCTGAGATGCAGGAGTGGTTTCAGGCACCTGAAGATGTAGACTCCCCAAGCCGAGAACTCAACCTATACCACCGTGGATGCAAACACTGAAATTCCCAGAGGGCTGAGCTCAGATGTTTAGGTGTTGTCCGTTCTGGGGACAGATCTGGACTTCTCGGGAACAAGATTTAGATTGTAGATGCTCGCCATGCACGGAAGCATTCTCCTCCGTCCAGTGGCTCCATATGACGATCCATACGATGACGACAGAGTATATGCCAGCATCGCAGAAATGTCGTTCGGTCCCTTGCAGATTGCAGCGGCTTGAAACTGTCACCAGTGCAGAGGACGCAGCAAAGATCTGTAGTGGCTGGCTCGTACAAACCCCTGAGCTTGGCAGGAAGGCGCAGTGCGGAAGGTTTCAGCAAGTAGTACTGGCATATGTGTGATGCTCAGCATACGCTGCGCCTGGAGTCGTAGCAGAGGAGCAGTCCGCAGACATGCCTCCCAAGCTCGAGGACTCACAACTGTGGGCCAAAAGTAGGAACTGTCGCTGCCAATTCTTGGATTCCTGCCACCCACTCGGGCACCCTCCGGCCTTCCACGCGGCATCTCGCCTTGCTGCACGTATTCAGCATCATCACATCATTTCCAACGGCCCACTGGGCAAGATCCGATTTTCTGACTGTTCTTCTCGTGTCCTCTCTGCTTTCAAAGTAACCTGAAGAGTTCGGTTCACGAGCCACGAGTAGCTTTCTGCGTTCTGACATAATTTAGCGCAGCGGCGATGCACTGGCTCGCGGCCTGGAGACAGCTGACAGCCCGAAAAGCCGCAAAGATCGCGTTCAAAGCAATCTCTACCCTTCGTTGCGACACACGATGCTCAGCATGTTGTGGTGCCATGTGCAAAATCAAGCACCTCCTATTTCGAGCACTTCGAACTCCAAGCCATGTGGAGGAAGCAGTTCTCGAAGACCTCAACAGCACCAGCATTTACGTGACAGCCTTTGAACTGAACTTCCTCAGAGACTGTCCTCCATGCAAGCGAGCGTCTGGGCCTGAGTGCATCTTCTGGTTCCAGACGATATGTTCCTGCCACATTGGTTCTGCGTGCTTTCGGCCAACGTCTTGATGAAAAACTTCGGGGGAACACACGATCAGCGCAGCTGCTGTTTTGCCAGTGGGGTTGAGCAATGGGATCAATCGCGCCATGCTGCTCCCGCCTGACACGGCACCAACTGTCGGAGGAGGGTCAAGCTCACCTCTGCTAGCGACTTGGAGTGCACTTACATGCATTGACAAACACAACGACTGGTTGCCAGGAGTTCACGAGCTCCAAACTTCAGATCATCAGGCCCACGCAAGTGTCTCGAAGCAATCGTTGGACGAGACATGTCCTCGAGTGCTCGAGAATGCCAATGATGAAAGATGTTGTTGGGTGCGCGGAACGGCAACCGTCACAATGCGTGCGCGGTTCTTCCCTGCCCCTGCTGACCCGACGACCAGCAGCACAGGCGGCTGGGCATCAACCATAGCAGCCAAGCGCTGCGCTCTGGCAACCTTCAAACCTCTCGCCCCTAACATGCTCTAGTGTCAAGCAGTAGACGACACACTGTGACGAATGAAGATGACTTCCACCGATACGAATAGAGTTTTCTGTCCGGCTACATCCGTGTAGGAGCACGCTGGAGCCAATGGCCTCAATCAGTTCGTTGACGTCGGCCCGCAAGTTCGAAATCTGGAGAATCCCCAACTCAAAGGGCCAGGTGGGCTCGAGCGCAGGTGAAAGACCTTCTCGAAGCCGCGGCGCTCTGCCTGGGCATTTGGACCCACTTGAACCCTCCGGATTCGGCTCGGCTTCCCTACAGCTTCAAAAGTTTAACACCATTACTTGACTTACGTCCCATTCCATAATGCAGCACTGCAGAAACTGACGTTCGGCATCGTTATGCAGAGCCCCTGCAGAAGGCATGTTCTAAGGAGTCACCCAATGCGAGGAGACCACAATTGTTTTTACACAATGCTGCCCAACCCTACCTGTGAACTGTAAAAGCTTCCAGTCAACAGGCTGTCTTACTCGGTATCGTTCTGCTCAAACCCTCGCACACACATGCACGCACTAGTGACCACCGTGCCCACACTTTCGAAATGAAGAGATTCAACCCGGAAACCAAGCTTGGAATGTTCGCCAAACGCAGACTAGCTGAGGCAGCACACTAAAGGCTGAGGGCAGAAATGGGGACCCGTCAGATCCTGTTAGTACATGTCGGAAGCGACGGGCAGGCTACCACAGCGCAGCGAAGGGGAACAAAGAACTCAAGATCTGAGAGATTTTTTGTGCTTTTAGAGCTACTGGGAGCTTGGAGCTGCATCACATCCAAGACTTTGTTTTGAAGTGTGAGAACCGCTTGGCATGCCTGTCCATAGAAAAGCCCTGCGCTGTCTTCAAGGAACTGAAGAGGTCCCACCTCCGAGAGCTTGTCTGGTGTCATAGACAGCACAAAGTGCACCGAGTTCTGCCACGGCACACATCGCATTACAACGAGCATTCAGGGTGCTTCGAGGCTCTGGGCGCCTCTGAGTGGTACTCCCGGAGCTCTGTGATGGATGCACGCCTCCCGGCACGAACCAAACACCGACCCGAAAAAATTGCGGCAATGAGGAGCCTCTCGTCCCCTGGCTTCGGGAGCTGCTCCACCAGCCAGTCCTTATAGTCCTCTAGCAAAACCCCCGTGCCGGGACTCCACTTCGGCCTGGAGCCTGTCCTGCGTCCAGCGTCTGGGCGGAAGCTCGGTGATCTCCAGGCGAACTCGACCCTTCCTGGCCCGCGAGACGCCTAGCCGGGCTAGTAGCCGGGCCTAGCCTCTGGAACGAGGCCGCTGCTGAGAGGCGACTCCCAAGGCTTCATACCTTGGAAGCCCCCACACCGCCACCAGGCGCTAGATGCTGCTGGCCGGCTGAGTTCAGCACTTGCCAACTGAGCCTTCGATGCTGCGCACCTCTGCTTTCGACTGATGCCGAAGCCTTGCTTCGGCACATCGTCCAAGGTACGCACAGTCCCCTTGAAGCCGCGAAACCAGGGCGCCATGGGCTGCATCGTTTCCCTTAGAGCACGACGCCAGTTCCTACTCGAAGCCGCTCTGACATCAAGACCATTTAGCACCACCACGCTATGCTACCCCCTAAGCGCACTGTCGTGCGCTATACCAGTTTCAGGTAGAGCCGTATCCCCTAGTTTCCTGACAGACATGATCAGCCTCAACCGTGCACGAAAGGAGAACTGGAGAAGGCTAGACGAAAACTCGTCGGCGAGGGTCGGTCCAGGGCATTGCCAAAGACGACTGGCAATAGCAGCAGCACTAGTAGCTGGCAGCAGCAGAACATCAGCGGCCCTGGGGGAAGGAGGTCTCGGGTGGGGGGCAGAGGAGAGAGGGGAGGGTACTAGGCACACGCGATCTACAGGTGTTCCGCCCGGCCTGTCATCCGAAGACAAAGTTCATCATCCACAGATGGGCTGAGGTCTACGATAAGATAAAGTTCGAAATCTTGAGCTTTAGGTGTTTTGGATGGCTTTCCTGCATGAGTCCGAAAGCGGTACACCGCTGGGTGTGTCTTTCACCAGTTTACATGCACCTGCAATCCACCGCATCGCCTGTTCACCGGAAAGGAGTCCGCCACTCGCTCAATTCACGGCTGGCACCTCGCTCCGACCGGAGACAATCTCGAAGCGGCTTTGGACCCATCTTCAAATTCAGTCTCCAACTGACAACAACCACCACTGCTTCACCCAAGCACCGTTCTCCACTCACATCAGCACCCCGCAAGTGGCCATCCTTCTGCCGATGGATCTGCCACGATCCTCGCCCTAGTCGTATTCTCGCCCGAGAGATTCCACGGCACGTCGATTGTGCTCTGAACGTCACAGTCGGCCGGTAAGCGGGCATGTGTCTGACAGTTGGGCGTTCCACTTGCGTGGGTCGCCATCCCCGGCCGGGCCGCGCTTTTGGTTTCACTTTAAGGTTTACATAGAAATATGACAATTTTACACGTGACTCAAGCTCCGCTTGCCTGGCCCGATGTCCCAAAGGACGAGCAAACTGCAGCGGAGGGTAGTAGCAACAGTACCACTGGCAACGATGGTGGAAAAGCCTACCGAAAAGAACAAGAGGAGGGAAGTCAAAGGCAATAGCAGTACCCATAGCAGCAAAGGTAGCAGTGGCGGTGACGGTGACATCGCCGGCTGGGCCGAGGGGAGGACTGAAAGGGGTAGAGGGGGCCGAGGGGTGGGGCAGCGGGGGGGTGTTACAACCCGCAAGCCTTGCCAATGCACCATGGGCTCCCCATCACTCCTTGTAGGGTCTCGGCCGAACTGGTCTTGACCCCTCGTCGGCTGTGAATCGTAACCTCTTGAAGAGGACAGTCTATTTCCTGTGCAGATCCTGAATGGCCAAAGGAGTGCTGCAGTCCGTCTTTGTGCCTTGTGCGTGACTTGAAGCTTCAGTGGAATGCTGGTGCCGGGTGAATCGTGGGCTTCTGCAGCATCCCTGACCAAACCCAAACACATTCGGACTGAGGTTCTTCCGCCCGAACGAAGATGTCGTAAGATTGCGCCTCTCATTTTGACTGCCTTGCATGTGCGGTGCAGTGTTGCCGCAGCAGTTGCTTCCTGGTGTTTGAAGACAGCACTCGCATGGCAGCTGAAGCCCCCAGCATCGTATTGCCCTGTGCTTGCTGGGTTGGATACACAGGGAGAGATGCACGCTTGCGACAATAACTGGTTGCGGCGCGACTCGGTGCAGCACTTTCTGAGCAGGCATCGGATGTTAGCGATCACGTCCCGCCTCGGGTGTCTTGCAGATGGCTGCACTCCAGACGAGATCTACTCGCTCCGAGATACCAGCGGATTGTGATTGGGAATGCTGGTGCTCCATCCCGTCCCAATACCTCCACCAGGTCCGGTGCAACTCGGGCTTCTCGTAAGAGCGAGAACCAGCTGTCCAACACATGGCACGTTCGCGTTCAGCGCACTGCGTTGCACCACAAGGTGTTAAACGGTGCAGAATCCCTCGCCTCTTTGCCCAGTACATACTCTAAACAAAGCGGCTCACCATCAGCACCATTGACAAGCGCGAGGGGGATGACAGGACAGTAAAATCCTGCCACCAGGAAGGTGCTCCAACAAATACTAGCAAAACCTCACAGGTCGCACGCTTCACCTCCATGCTGAGGTCTTAACTGGGCTCGATTTGGTGGCCTTCTTCGCTCAGATACCTTCAGCTACAAGATGAGATGTTAAGAAGTGCTCACATCTCATTTTTTTCGAGGCAGAAGCTCCAAGACAGCATCATCCTCTGCGGGGAACAAACAGCGAGTCACCTGTCTGGAGAAGCGAGCGGATAGACGAGCTGTCTCGCACTCGTGTGCCAACTTGCAACTTCCATTCAAGTTTGGCACCAACACTGTTCATGGATTTATCTGGTTTTGTAATGTGCTGTACGTTTCATGTTGTCGTGCTCGCCTACATACCTCCTCTGCTTTCGGAGCGTAGCAAGTTGATGGTGGGTTTCAGTATGTGCCTGACACAAGCTCGCAGGCGCATGGCGGCTTGGCTTGACTTAGCGGACGGTCCGACTCTGCCACAAACGAAGTACCTCGCAGGCTTGCCGGGTGAGGTGAAAGGCAAAACGCCGAGGTAGAGTCGGGCTACGGCGTCGAGCCAACGGCCTACAACCCTGACACCGGTGACCGGCCGGGCGAGACGTGCTTCTTCCAGGCCGGCGCTGCGCTGTGCCCTCGAAGGTCTGGCACGCCGCAGCCACCGTCGCTCTTGTTCTTGTCCCATCCTCCCCTTCCATCTTGTAGTCTTGAACGGATTTGTTCGGCCGGTGTCCTGATCGACCCTTGACTGGTGTTACAGTGCTGGTCACAACTATTGATGTATGTATTCTCTTCAAGCATTGTTATATCTCCAAAATTTGTAACATCGCCTGGCTTGGCTTGATTTGCTTCTACATAGCTGGGCTTGTGTTGATTGTCATCCTTGATTACATCACAGTGGGGGCAGCACCAGCCAAGGTCCTTAACCAGGCCCGGGCCCCGCAGCTCGTAGACCCGCAAGGGGCCAGCAGGGGCCCGTAGGGCCCGTCGAGCCTGTGGAGCCCGTAGAGCCCGTAGGGCCCGTAAGCAAAGCCGCAAAGGCCCGTCAAGGCCCGCAGGGCCTGATGCTATGGTCCACAGTGCCTTCTGATGGTCATGATTGGAAATGCTCGCACCGGATGCGATGTGCCATGTTTGTGTATGTATATATATATGTATACACACACATTTTGCTTTATGCTGTATGTATTATCTTATATCATTTCAGAATGTATTACACTAGCATCTGCATATGCATATGTACGTATATGTATGTATGTATGTGTATATATATATGTGAAAAATTATACATATATGTATATATATATGTGAGAAAGAAAGAGAGAGAGAGAGAGAGCTTGTATATTTTTGTCTTAAAAAGTGTGTGTGTGTGTGTGTATATATATATATGTATATTATGTTTGTAAGTTAACATGTATTCAACATGTGTTATATAAACCTATACAGGTCATATATACATACATATATATATATATGTATATATACATCTATATCTATGTATGTATTGCATATGTATATGCGTTTTATTTCGATTGTACATGCAGGTATACATACAGAATGAAACATATCTTTGCGTAGTTGTATATATACATATGTTATAAATTAAATTTAGTTCAGTTCAAGTATTGGAGGGTTTAAGTGGTGTATTCCACTCTACAGATTGTAATGAACACATACCTATATGTGTGTAAAAATATACACGTAGATATTTTAAGATGTAGACTAGAATTAGTTCAAAGTATATTCAATATAACATATGTATATATGGCTGTTGATCTAAATTGCTTCATCCCGGAATGTCCTTCTTCACGACTAAAAAGTTAACTTTAACGAAACCATCACGGAACTTTCGCGATGGTATATTTACATACCTGTGCAAATTAGAACCCTGGGTTATAAGCTATAAGCTTCGTGATGACAAGCTGCTACAGGCATTCTAATTTGATAGCTCTTGGCAGGCTCCCAGGCATTTTAGGCCTGCGTGCCAGCTACAATAGTTGGAAACGGCTGGTTAAGGCCGTGTGAAGCCGTCTTAGGGTGTAGATTCTTGACAAAGTTTCCTGAAAGTTTCTCCATTGCAAAGCTTTTGGTGTCTCAATTGATTGAAAGTTCCTGGGAGCCTTTCTCACAGGCTTTAAGGTTTTTGAGGCTGTTAGACAGGCTTTCGTACCAACGGAGGATTGAAAAGCTTTCCTCATTGGGCTATTCCGGGGGTCGTAAGGGCTTCCTTGGAGGTGCCCCTTTTCGCTAGCCACTCGCGAAATGCACCAACAATGTCCATTGGGGGTGGCCTTGATCAGGCTACGTCTACATCGACTTTAACGTCACTAACGCGGAACTTACGCGGAACTTACACGCTCAACCCTGTACTGGAACCGCATTTTCGGGTTTGTCGTTGATAAGATCGTGCGTGGCAGGTAGTGGTAGTAAGTGGAGACTAGCAACAGTAGCAGTAGCAGCAGTAGCAGTAGCAGCAGTAGCAGCAGTAGCAGCAGCAGCAGTTGTAGTAGTAGACAGTAGTGAGAAAAATAATAATGATGGTATTAATAGTAATAATCGTAACAACGCTCACAGTATCAACAATAGTAAAACCAATAGCAACAGCAATGGTAATATTCATATTACTAGTACGAGTACCAAGACTAGCTTTAGTAAAAGTAACAGTAAAGGTAGCAGTAGCAGTAACAGTAACAGTAATCGTAACAGTGACAGTAGTAGTAACAGCAGTAAAAGTAGTAAAAGTAGTACTAGTAGCAAGAGTTGAAATAGTAATAGCAATAATAAAAGTACAAGCAATAGTAAAAGTAATAGTAACAGTAATAGTAATAGTCATAGTAGCAATAGTAATAGTACTAGTACTAGTACTGGTAATAGTAATAGTAATAGCAATAGCAACAACAAGAGAAACGGTAACAGTAGTAGTAGTAGTAGTAGTAGCAG